TTTATTATTAACAATAATTCCCCAACATCTAGGCGGAATTATTGTTTTAGAAAAATATTTTTATTCCTTCCAACATCTAGGCAGGGAAAATTATTATTATTTTTTAAAGTATTTTAATATATTTTTAATTATTATTTGTTTTTTATTTTATTATTATTAAAACGATTAAACATTCATTTTAACAAATTTATAAATTTATTATGCATAAATATAAAAATATATTTAAAATAACAAAAATAATAATAAAAAATTAAAAAAAAAATTTTTACCTGAACCGGACCGGTCAACGCTGGTCCGGACGGTCTGACCGGTTCAGCGGTTGGATCGGCGGTTCGGGCGATCTGACCGGTTCGACGGTCGGATCAACGGTCCGGACGATCTGACTGGTTCAGTCCGTCCACTAGCGGTTCGTATGAACCGATTCAAGGCTGGCTGGAACGGGTCGTTAGGTCGGGTTGTGCGGATCTCGAGTCGGGTTCGGGTCAACGCGCGGATCCTTCTTTGGTTAAAACAGCGTCGTTTTGGGTTTTATTGAAACGACGTCGTTTTGGCTATTGATAATTTATATAAAAATCAAAAATATTTTTTTTTCATCATTTTTTCGATCTTCAGAAAAAAAAATAACCCCTTTTTTTTTCTTCTCTCTTCTTCTTCAGCCGCACGCTGGCCGGCCTCGGTGCTGCCACCACTCGCCGGTCGCCGGCCGTCATCTCCGGTGGTCGAAAAAACCCCAAAATTCTCCCACGAACTCTTCTCGACCCCCTGAGCACAGATCTGACCTCCTTTTCACCAAAAACGGCCTTGATTCGCGTAGATCGAGTTTTGAAGTTTTTGGTTTTTCTTTTCTCTTTTTTTTCGGTGAAACTGATGATTTCTTGGCTTTTGCAGGTGGCTCGGCGTTGAGGTTCCTCGCCGTGGGGAGGATTGTGTTGTTTTTTTTTTTTGTTTTGTGTAGATCTGTTTTCGGTTTGGGTGCTTTGGGGGGTTGCGTGAAACTGAGTTTTTTTACGTGTAAGAATGGGGGTCTGTCTGGGGTTAAATGGGGATTCCAAAGGGAGACTGAAGGGGATTTCAGCTAGCTCCTTCTCTCCCTTGAAAGGGAAATTGCTGGAGATTTTTAAAGGCTTCAATTAGGAGGATCTAGGTGGCTGTAGGGTAATTGGTTGGTGGCTGTAGGGTGGTTGGTCAGGGGCTGGCGACAGCGGCACCGTACCAACTCTCTGACTTCTGTCTAATTCTCGTTTTTTTTTGTTTTTTTTGTTTTTTCTTGTTTTTTTTGTTTTTTGTTTATATTTTGTTAAATATTATTATTATTAAAAAAATAAAACAGTAGACTCGGACAAAATCGGTGTCTACATCATGGATCTCACCTTAGAAAAAAGTGAGTCTCGCACCTTTTGAATAAATAAACAAAAGGTAATGGACTCTATTAATAAAAAACAAAAAAAAATAAAAATTAAGAGATTATAACATGGTAAATTAAATGGATGACACAAGGCAGCCTCTTGTTGAGATTTGCATACCAATATATACGATTCTCCTTTCACAACTTTATTGTTCAAAATGGGACTTGATGGATACCACAAAACAGAAAACAACTTGTCTTTCCTCGTATATAGCTCACCTTTTTAATATATTGTTATTGAAATCTGCATATCAATATATTGGTCCTTTTTTCAGCCCCACCAAACATATGTAATCATCCAATCACGCTTTTTCCTTGCCTCAATTCAAATTGCAATTGACCTTAATTTCCATCCAAAGTCAATACTATCATTTTTTTTTTTTTGGATACGATACTATCATTGAGTGCTTTCGTTAATAGTTTTGTTATGCGTGACCAATTATTAGACCCATTAATTAAACAAGGTAGGTTTTGGATTAATTTGATTTAGATTGTCACAGCATTCATGAACTGTTCATCATTTGCCAAGGCCTGCAATGATTCAATGTCCACATATTCCATATAATACTGTAATCGTCCAATCATATATACTTTGTTCAATTTTACGATAATACATTAATAAAGTGACCTATACAAAATTCTACATTTTAAAAATAATGATACATTATAAAGGAAGGCAGCAAAGGGCAAAAAGAAGAAAACTCTTACATTTACACAGCTTATGATGACTAGCAGCTCAGTAATTCAGCGTCAATTTGGAGATGTCCTGTCCAGCTTCTGTTTTTGTCTTCTTCCTCATGCATAGATGGCCAGCTGTTCTTTCCTCCTTTTATGCTAAAATGTATTTGCTGCTTGGGTGTCTTTTAGTGGCCAATGGCCTTGCAAGATAGAGCCATGTCAGCTGCCAAAATAGCAGCAACCAGCAGCGTCAATTTCAGGAGAGGACCAGTCACGTTACTGGCAACAGCTGGGTCTTCATGGAAAGCTTTCTTAGGTGGCTCCAATCATCCAATAACCTTCCTTCCGTGTGCTATATCAAGTCCAGTTCTTCAACAATGGAGAAGGTCTCTTGTGCAACCTGTGACAGCTTGTGGAACGGCAGCAGCTCACAACTTCATTCAAGAGCTTTCGGCTTCAATGTTTAGCACCTTGTGGTGCTTTGACAGCTAGCTTCTTTGTCTCTCTCTCACTTACAACACAGCTGGCAGCTCCTCTTCATGACAAAAATGTGCAGCTCCTTTGGATCTTCTAAGTCAGCCAATAATGGTGCCATTTAGAGCCAACTCAGCAGCCATAAATGCTCTCAGTTTGGAGAATATTCGGGTATAAGCAGTGGAGGTCACAGCTGGTTCTTCAAGCAGAATTTGAGACGCTTGTGTGGAGGATTTTTAAGTCCCCAAAGTTAACCAATGACTAGCCATTCTTTTGTCCAGTAAAAAGCCACGTCATCTTCATTCACCAGTCAATTTGTGGATAGTTCGGGTTGTACACAGCCTCACATTGGAACAGCCAGTTTGTTCCTTTTCTTTCTTCCCTAAATGTGTGACATGCAGCAGCTTGCTTGCCAGCTGTCCCTTTCTCTTTCATGCAGGAATCATGCAGTCTCATTTTGTGACAAATAAGTGGCTGAGTTGGCAGGTACATTGTGTGCAAAATTGAAGAGGCTGATCCATAATTTTGGAGTAAATCGGGTAGTACATTGGCAGCAGCTAACACTTCTTCTTTCAGCTCACTCAAGGATCCATTTCAGCGCTCTCCACGCGAGTCAGCACCTGGTGTCTCTCGGCTTGGCAACTAAATCTCCCCTATGGCTCAACAAAAGGATGTTCAACAGCTCAAGTTGACAACGGACAGCAACTCCTCAAGGCGTGGCCATTGCTTGCATGTTTCTTGCCCCCGTAGCTGGTCTTTAATCTTCCAATTTCACCTACAAAATAGATAATAAAAACAAATTACGTGGAAATTTGAATTAAATTGCTAGATTCAAGCAAAGATTAATCAAGTAATAAAATTAATCAAATAAGTCCTATGATAATTTTATAAAAAATAGAATTATCATGCCTACAAGAAAGTAGGAATAAAAACTCAAAGTTTAACTCGGTTCATTCAATTAATTGATTATTTTAAGAGATGATATCCAACAAATCTGAATTTTAAATTTCAACATTTATAACTCTTTTTATCTTTAAGCTACAATCTTCTTTGCAAAAAAATTAAAGAATAAATTGTTCAAGCTTGAATAGAAATCCTAGACCTGATTGGTTTATATTTAAATGATATTTTAATATTTGTTATTGTGTTTATTAATTTATACCTTAGTTCTACTTTATCTCATGTTTTCTTTATTAGCAGGCGGCACAATTTTTAATTCCTTTGCCTGCTTGATTTTTGGGAAATAAAATTTTTATATAATCCTTGGGAAAAAAAATTACATATGATCTTGTTTCGGAATATACCAAATTAAAAAACAAGATTCAAATCTCCTTTTTCCAAATTAAAAAAAAAAAATAGCATTTTACTTTGTTGAAATACTATTTAAGGCAAAGACAAGATGACTATGCTCTAAACGACATCAAAAGATTTAACCTTCTCACCTTCCTCACCTTTTTATGGAGTTTGTGCTATCTATTTTATTTCACCTAATAATTATTATCCTTCAATTTGAAGAAAAAATACAGATATAATGCAAATTAGATTTATAAAAAAATTACAGAAAATAAGGCAGTCCTCTTATTTTATTGAATAACATGCAAATAAATGAAAGGATTCATTCAAGTCTAGTGATTACTATTTGGAAGTTTACTTTAATGTTTCTTCCCCATTATAAGGTTTAAAAATTTTTCCAAGCGTTTGGGGTGTGGTCTTTCTGCTGGGCCGTCACTCTCATCAATTGGTCCTGTTGCCTCGTATATGTTACGTTTTCGTTTTACAAGGACACCACCATTCCCTGTTGACCCTTCATCACCACTCATGTCTTGATGGATATCGTCGTGATCTGCACAATTTGGTGGACTGCTGTGTTGCTCTTGTATTTCTTCCATCTCTTCCAAATCTTTCTCATACACTAATCGAACCCCACACTTCACTTTGAAATTTGGAGTGGATCTGATTGAGAACTCAATTTCATTGCATTCTTGATTTGCCCAATCTGTGTTTGATGAATTCTCAGTTTCGCCACATTTGTCCTCTAAGTAAAATGGAAATATCACGCCACGAGAATAATAACGCAGCCAAAGGTGATCCTTCATGGTCAGAGGCCGCCAATATTCTGGTCCCAAAACAAAGCCAATATGTCCAAATTCTGGAATACCTCTACAACGGATAGAAATGCTATAGCAGCTGCCCTTCTCCTTCCAAAAAGCATCATCATTAGCGGAGGCACAGACAAAAAAGCAGCAGAAAGCAACTCCCTTCCACTGACTATCATTCCGAATATTAGGAGGCAGTGCTATCTTTATTGAAGATTCATCCCCCTGATGGCGGAACCATTCTAGGATTTCACTTCCAGGTATAATAATGTCGAATAATTGTCTTGCATTTGCAAATACCTCCAAAAAAAAAATCCCGTTGTTTGGCAACTAATACAATAAATTCTAGAGAGTAAGATTCAGAGAGAGAGATCGCTACCAACCTTAAGGTGTTTTTTTAGCATTTTTAACGTATTGTTTTTCTCAGCCAATTTGTAGCAGTTAAAAGCGGTTATATATCTGCAATCTTCTGAATTGCATACTTTTGTTGGATCTGCAAGTACTTCCAGAGAGGAACAACCATCTACCCACACTCCTTTTATACTTTTTAGAAGCTCAGGCAGAGCTTTAAGCTCCCTGCAATCTGACAACCTAAGAAAATGAAGCTTGGAAAGTCGACCGAGAGTTGCAGGTAGGTGGACGAAATTGTTACTACTAAGATCAAGTATTTTCAAAGAAGATAAGCAGCAAATATCACTAGGAATAGCTCCTTCCCAAAGATTGCAGTCACTTAGATTCAACTTTGTTAAAGAGCTCAAACCTGACAAAGGAGGTAACATCAGAGCCATGGAATTCGAACTTCCTCTTTGCAATACATTGAAGAGAGAAGGCAAATTCAGTCGCAATTTTGATGGCGGTCCCTTGCATCCATTGAAAGACAGAACTTTCAGACTTCTAAATTGAAAAATGAAGGATGGAGGTTTTCCTATGGCAGTTTTACTTAAATCAAGCTCCTCCAAAAATTCTACATGCTGCAAATTCTCTGGTAAAGTTTCAACTTTAGAACAGCCAGCGAGATTAAGAGTTTTAAGACATGTCAACCCATTTATGCTGCTTGGGAGACTCACAAGGTTATTGCAATCTTTCAGATTTAACGAAACAAGATTGCTGAGATGTCCAATTGAAGAGGGAAGTTCTACTATTCTGGAACAACCTTCCAAAATCAGACTTTGGAGATATGGAGCCCTTGTGAAGTCTGGCGTCTTGATCAGGTTTTTGGAACCTTTGAGGTTGACTAATTTCAATTTAGGTAAAGGCTGTTGACAACAACAATAAAATTAGAGAAAAAAAAAAGAAAGAAAACATAGGAAAACTCTTTTTCTTTTTTTTTTTTTTTGGTTATTTTCATATCTTATTAAGATTTTTTTTTTTTATAATTAGTCTCAAAATAAACTAAAAGGCAAACTTAGAATGAAGTAATTCTTACTCTGTTTCCCTTCCATAGTTGTTCAATGTGGCTATAAGGTAGGAGAAGTGCAACAAGGTTGTCTGGTTGGAAGCTTGATGGCAATGATCTAAAAGGATATCCACTCCAATCTAAAAGCCGTAACTCATTTGAAAGATTTTTGAGATCTTGAGTAATTGGGAGATAAAAGACTTTGAGCAATCTTAATTTTTTCATATTCAAGAAGGCATCAGCATTCAAAGTGAACGTCTTGTTCTGTTCCCTGACAACCAAGGGCAAAACAAAAATGAGCTTCAAAATATCGAAGCTTTCAACACCTACAAAAGGCAAGAATCAACATTCATTCGTATCTATCATTGTTTTCTTCTTTTTGAAACACAACATTTTTAGTTAATACAATCAATTTTCCTACCACATGATTTCAATTTCGTATTGGTTATGTTTTAAGTTTGAATGGTCATTAGGTGATTACCTATGACCTACTTTAATTTTGATTAGTTTCATGTTCAAATCTAAAGAATGAGAGGATGAGAAAATGTAATGGGTAAGAATGTTGGTATTTCAAGTCCAACAACTAAAACTACATAAAAAAATGCAAATTAGGACAAAATATTGATAATATATATGTTCTAGTAATAATAATTCAATTAAATGAGACAAATTAAGATCAAATAGTAATATATAATATACACATAGATACATGTGCGTGTTTGTTTTTTACCCTTTATTGTCAATGATCATGCCCTCAATTCCGTCGGTAGCCTAAAAATCAAGAGTAAAGCATTAGAGGATAGAAAGTAAATGCTGTAAAATATTAATAGTTAAATTTTAAGAAGATGAAATATAGGAGACCATAATACATAATATTTTCTCAACAAAATTTATAGTAAGAGAAATTTCCTTTATTTAAACTAACAAGATAATTTTAAATAAAAAAATCTAGAATTTAGTCTCAAAATAATGCGAATGAAACATTGTCTCAATAGCAAGAAAGTTGCTTAGTTTTGAACTTTCATGTTTAAGTTTTATCATACATGATTTAATCCATTTTATATTGGATTTGATAGCTATATTTGCAGGTTTATTTATTGGTCTAATTATTCATTTTTATTTGATTCTGATATGAATGTAGTACCTATTTATGATCATAACTTTAATGAAAAACTATAAAACTATAATAAAATTAACACTTAAGTAGTCTTACTTTTATTATTTGCAATTATTTAGTCTTATTCTTTCATATATTCAAGAATATTAGTATGCAATCTCAAGTTTTTGGTTTTATCTTAATTACAAAATCTTAATGTCATACTAATAACTTACCTAGCTAATCAATTTTTTTGGTATATAATTTAGCATGTTGAGTAGAGTCAAGATTCTAAATAAATACATAAATATGCAATGTTTATGGAATAACTTACTTTGTTTTTTGTTAGCACATGATAGACATCATTTTCCTCCCATAATCTACAACGTTTTCCAGGTTCATCAACTGATTTTTGTCGAACAATTTTTCTTCCCATCTCTTGTAGCAAATCGTGCATCCACAAAAATTTGCGCGAAGTAACTTTTATGGGAGACTTCTCAATGAGACGATTTATTCCAATTTCTGCGAAAAAATCACAACCATCTAGTATGTTAGTTACGAAATCTTTCTCACCCCCATTGAAGAAGCATGCAATATCTAGAAAAATGTTCTTCTCCGTTTCTTCTAATCCATCAAAGCTTATTAGAAGTCTGTCATGAATTTCCTTGTCAAAATCTCTTTTAAGTCTTTCAATTGCACTTCTCCATTGAGCTGCATCTCTACCGCACAACAAACAACCGATAACTTCAAGAGCTAAGGGAAGACCACCAGTGTATGTTACAACTTGTTTAGACAGCTCATTGAAATCATTTTCTGGCACTGTATCACTCTTGAAAGCTTTCAAATTGAAAAGATGAAGTGCTTCATCGACATCCAGTGTTGCAGGCTTATACACATCATCCACTCTGTAGGATCGAAGCAAATGTTCATCTCTTGTTGTTACAATGATTCTGCTCCCTAAACCGAACCAATCACGCCTTCCAACCAAGCATTTTAAATGTTGAAAGTTATCGACATCATCAATAACAACCAGAACCTTCTTGTGAGATAGCCTGCGACTAATCATGGCATTCCCTTCATGAATATTGAATAGATTGAAACCTTCTTCCAACAATATATCAGAAAGAAGTTGTTTCTGTAAAGAAACAAGTCCACATTTCCCGGAAACTTCTCGAACATCAGCAAGAAAGCTTTTACCTTTAAAATCAGAGGACATTTGGGTATAAACTACTCTTGCAAGAGTAGTTTTACCAATGCCGCCCATACCACAAATTCCTATAATGCGGACATCGTCATCACCAATGTCTATTTTCGAATGTAACTCTTCCAAACGTGAGTTAATTCCAATCAACTCATTGGAAACAAACGAATATGTTTGACGTAATTTTGTTGATATCTTTTTAACAATGTTTCCAATAAATTCTGATTCATGCCTACAAACACTAAAAAGAGAAATAAACTTTAGTTGGTAATTATGAAATTAAGAGTCAAAAAATAAGGATACAATAATCTTTTATGGAACAAATTTAGGATGCTCTTAAAGCCTCAAGTTTCTAATTAGTAGCTTTAGTAATTGAAATTAATTAAAATTTATATTTAATGCATTATCAATATATAAAATCTATATATTATCGGTGAATTGATGATGACATCTAATTAAAAAAATAAACATAAACCTTTAAAATAAATATACAAAAAATTAATATTTTTTAAAAAATTACTCATTAATGAGATGATATCAACCGATTCATTAATAGTATACAGAATCCATATACTGATATTACATAAATATAAAACGAATTAAGTATTACCAAATATCTATAAGGTTAGAAGAAATTACTTATGATTTTATTTTTTCATAAATTGCTAATATATAATTAAATCATTACTAGCAACCAAGTCAAAAAAATTCTTAATACATATTTTATATAACTTTTTTATTTTAAACAAAACATGAAACATGGTGATCACTTGTATTTTAAGAAACAATTTTATTCCTAGTAGAGTTTGGGACCAAAAACAGAGCAAGAACAAGGGGGAAGACTATGTTACGACATCATGAAATAGAAATGATCCTTTAGTTAAATGAAATTCTATAATAATACACAAGATTAAAAATGTTTTTTAAGATTATATATCATGCAATACAAAAAACAACAAAAAAAAAAAACAATTTTATATTCATTAAAATTGGAAACTAGAAAAGGAAAGAGTTTGTTGCCTGTTTTTTAAATGCCATCCCGTGATATCAGCCACTTCACTCAAAGCTTTTCTCCACTTTTGGATCTCATCTTTATTTTCCTTGTATCTCTCTTCATGTTTGGCAAAGGCCTTTTCAACTTTCCCAGTCTGTTTTCTTAAATCAGATGGATCCACATCATAGAAAATTGGAAAAACTTTATGTCCCCTCTGCTTTTTTTGTTTAACAATCTCAGCGAGCTCTTTCAAGCACCAACCTGAAGAAGCATATGTTTCTGAGAAAACGATCACAGAACACCATGATTCTTGAATTGCTTTAAACAGTTCTGGTGCGATTTCTTCTCCAGCCTCAAGCTTTCGATCATCCCTGAAAGTCTCGATTCCACTCCTTATTAAAGCAGCAAATAGATGATCAGTGAATTTTATGCGGGTATCTTCACCTCTGAAACTCAAGAAAACATCATATTTCTGTCGAGAAGAAGAAGAAGATGGCAACGATGACATGAGGAGGTGGAAGAGGAATATATCTCAAGCTGTTGTTTGAGTAGTTCCTTTTGCTTCTATTTATCAGAAACTAAAAACACGGTCAAGTTTGAGCATGAAGCTCAAACTTGAGTAAAGTAAACGCTAGACAACGACTAAAAGAGTCTAGTTTCCCTGGGAAATAGTAAAAACAAACATTTTTCAACAATTTTCTTTGACCTTCTTACTATGGGAATGCTTGAAAAAGCTCTAATTTCATTAATTCCAAACTCTTTTTAAACAAATCTCCGCCTAGTGATGGTGTTTTGGGTCAAAGATCTATTATGATGTTCTTTCCAGGAGGAATCCACTAGGAAAGAATGGTAAATTACTATGGGTAAAAATTGATTAAGTGATGACTGAGAGAGACAACTTCTTTTCTCTTTCCAAATATTGTTGTTAAAACAATCAAATTTTTTTAGCTAAAACCATTTTTCTTGGCACACGTATCACATGATTTCAATTTCTTATTGGTTATGTTTTAATTTTGAGTAGTCATTAGATGATTACTTACGATTTTTCACTTTAATTTTGTGGACCAATTAGGTGATTACCTATAATTTTTTTTCATTTTATTATATAATATATTTAATAAATATAAGATACGAGAAAGAAATAAAAAGAAAAAAAAATGATTTAACTTTATTTTTTAGATTTATTAAAATCAATAATTAAAAAAATGTAAATTTGTTTTTTATGTAAGTTGATCCCTCCTTGTTATATACTATATATAACATATAATTATATATAAATATAAAAATTATATTTATTATGTAATTTGAATCAGGCTAAGGTTTTAAATGTTAGAGTCAAAGTCCTAAATGAGTCTTTTTTTTTGTTCAACCCTCCAAATAGCAAATGAGTTTTAAAGTTTGAACGGTTACCTTTGAACATATATAATTCTAACTTTATAAAAGAACTACAATAAAAAAAATGAAAGGATGTAACATAAGGAAAAATGTAAATAATATATATGATCTAGCAACCATGGTTCGAAAATAAGTCAAGATTAAGTAATAATACATATACATATATACATTGATACATGTATATGTATGTTTTTGTACCCTTTAATGTCGATGACCATGCCTTCAATTGCTTCTGCAGCCTAAAAATCAAAAGAATGAAAGATAAGAAGACACAAAATGCATGGTGTAATAAAATTAATAGCTAATTTATAAGAGGAATGAACTAAAACGGGACACAATACTAAAGATTTTAAATGGTTAGGTTAATTCTCAATAAAGCTTAATTAACATTAAAAGAAATTAGTTTGGTTTTATTTAAATTAACATGAGAAATTTAAATAGAAAAATCCATAATTTTACTATAAAATTATAATGCAAATGAGGTTTTGTCTCAAGTTGCATGTATCATTACATGTGAGTTTTGATCCAGTTTCATTATCTATTTATTTGAATTTTTATATGAAATAAAATACTTAATTATGATTTTAATTTCATAAAAAAAACTATAAAACTATAATAAAATATACACTCAAATAATCTTAATTAATTTATTCTGGCCAAAAAAAGTAGTGTTATTTTATAATAAATAAACAATAGTAATATTTTTCTTTCGTATATTCAAGAATACTCATTCGTAATCCCAAAATTTTGGTTGTATATATCCTAATTACAGAATCTTAATGTCATGAGAGTAAAATATATACCTACTTAATAATTTTTCGTGATAGTCAATTTATTATTTTGGGTAGAGTCGAGATTCAAAATAAACAAATAAATGCGTAATATTTATGAAATGATTTACTCTGTTTTCCATTAGCACGTGATAAATATCGTTTGTCTCCCACAATCTACATTGTTTTCCAGGTTCACCAAGAGATTAAGCCATTCATGTGATTAAGCCATTCATGACCCTTGATCACAAGTAAATAAATCTCGGAAGGAAATGTTAACAACATGTAATGTGGGGATTAAGTCAATGTGAGATTTATACTTTCATATATATATTAATCTCGTATCTTTTTCTCCTTAGGTTTTTTTTTTTTTTGAGTTTTCTGATAGAAAAATCTATGCAAAAAAAAAAGAGATATAATCGATTCTTTGCTTCCAGCAGCTTGAAAATGTCAAAATTCTCAAATTTTGGATAAAGAATTTAAAGCAACTATTGTAAGCATTCTTCCTTTTTAGTGTTTAACCTTGTTTCGATTATTATAGTATTGATTTTGGACGGGAAGGGCAATTGCGATTTGAACTGAGGCAGGGAACAAGCTTGATAGGACTATTAGAGCGTATGGTGAGGCACAAGAAGACAACATTATTAAATTCTAATTAATGCTTTCAAATTAATTACTTATTTTACTACAAGAAAGTGGATATTTAGCAATCCTATTTTGCAATGACTAAAAATATTGTTTCGAAATTTTGTTATATTTACTCATTGTTTAATTAAATTTTTTAATATCTTATATAATGATAAATTTTATTGTTATAAATTTTTATTATATTTGTAACGACAAAAAAATTGTTGTGAAAATTTGTTTTATTTATAACAAATTTCTAATATCATTACTTAAATTATTTTTTTGAGTATTAAGGATGGCTTAGTTGGGTAAACTATGAGAAAACATTAATTCTATGGTATTGATCAAAAGAAGAAATTTCAATTAAAATCATTTAGGATAAAAAAACTTTTAATTTTCCTTTAGAACATGCCAATAAGAATAGAACAAGTTATCATATAAAATACCATAAAATATTAAGTGATGGGCGTTAATTAAGGCCTTAATTAACTTTGCTTGTTAGTTTGCAATGAAGGCAGCCTTGCCTAATCCCATAATAGTAGCATTTAAAGTGAAAGCTCTAAAACTAAAGCAAGTAAGGAGCAAATAAAATTAATTTTAAACTAATTTATTTATTTGAAAATTATAAATAAAGTTTGTTAAAATTGTATAATTTTCGTGCCTTTTTCATGGTACAGCGGTTTTGGAGGGATAACGCCCTCAAAATTATATGCGCATATAGAAATTAAAATTGAAATCAAATCATTCTAACAATTTATGATCTAATAATTACTGTAAAATCAAGTGCAAGAAATTAAAGAATAAACTAAATAAAATAATTTAACAAAGCAATATAAAATTGGAGGAAACTTATATATTATGCGTTGGACAGAACTTGTATAACCTAAAGATTTTATAAGAGATTTTCTTGTTCTCTATTTTGTCGTTCTTCCATGTTAATGAAAGTGGTGGGAATCATCTTATAATGGAAGGAAAGTCCTATTCTATTGATAGCAAGCCGAGCAACTAGTATAAACAATCTTCGGGTCTTGGGTTGTTCACCTCGGATTGATTATTATAGCATTGATTCTGGACGGGGAAGGCCAATCGCAATTCGAAGTGGAGATGGGAACAAGCATGATGGGAAGACAACAGTATATGGTGGAGCTGAATAAGAAAGTATGGACATTGAAGCTTACTTTTTACCTCAAACATTGCAGGCCTTGGCAAATGATGAAGAGGTCATAAATTCTGTCACAATCTAATCTTAATCCAACTTCTACGTTGTTCAATGGGTGAAATAATTACCATCAATAAGAAGTTTTAATAAGATTTACTAGTCTTTAGTAGCCGTTAGTGAAACTTGGTCTATCCAAGTTAAGCTGCCTATAATGAAGATATGAATAACAACTCAAAGTTTAACTAAATTTATTCAATTAATTAGTTATTTTTAAAAGATAATATCCGATAAATCTAAATTTTAAATTTCAATATTTAAAATTACTTCTATTATCTCTAACAAACAACATCTTTTGTAAAAAAAAATAAAATTAAAGAATAAATTGTTTGAGCTTGAATAGAAATCCTAGACTTGGGTGGTCTATATTTAAATGATATTTTAATATCTATTGTTGTGTTTATTAATTTATACCTTTTTCCTACTTTATCTCATGTTTTCTTTATTAGCAGGTAGCACAATTTATAATTCCTTTGCCTACTTAATTTTTGGGAAATGAAATTTCTACATAATCCTTGGGAAAAAAAATTACATATGATCTTTTTTTTAAAAATACCAAATCAAAAAGCAAGATTCGAATCTTCTTTCTTCAAATTAAAAAAAAAAAAAATGGTGTGAAGCACTCTTTGAAGCAAAGATAAGATTATTATGCTCCAAACAACATCAAAGGATTCCACCTTCTCACCTTTCTTGCCTTTTTATGCAATTTGTCCCTACTATTTTATTACCTGATAATTATTATCTTTCAACTTAAAGAAAAAACACATAAATATCAATGCAAATTAGATTTATAAAAAATCGTGCAATCCTCTTATTTTATTGAAAAACATGCAAGTAAATGAAAGGATTCATTTAAGTCTAGTGACTAGTATTTATAAGTTTACTTGAATGTTTCTTCCTCATTATAAAGTTTAAAAATTCTTCCAAGCGTTTGGGGTGTGGTCTTTCTTAAGGGCTACCACTCTCATCACTTGGTCCTGCTGACTCCTCTTAGACGTTACGTTTTCGTTTTACAAGGAGACCATCATTCCCTGTTGGCCCGTCATCACCACCAATGTCTTGATGGAAATCGTCCAGATTTGTACAATTTGTTGGAATGCTGTCTTGCTCTTGTATTTCTTCCATCTCTTCCAAATCTTTCTCATACACTATTCGAACACCACAGTTCTTCACTTTGGTAGATGAGACAGCTGAAGAGGATTGGATTGAGAACTCAATTTCATTGCATTCTTGATTTGCCCAATATGAATTCTCAATTTTACCACATCTTTCCTCCAACGAAAATGGAAATATCTTGTCACGAGAATAATAACTTAGCCAAAGGTGCTCCCTAATGACCCTAGGCCGCCTAGATACTCCTCCTAAATTTAAGCCACTCCAATCTACCTGTGGACTATTCCTACCGTGGATAACTGCTTTACACATTATTGCATCCTCCTCATGAACATCATCATCAATGAAGGGAAAGACGAAAATGCAACAGAAAGCAACTCCCATCCACTGACTATCATTCCGAATGTTAGGAGGTAGTGGTATCTTTCTTGAAGATTCATCCCTCTGATGGCAGAACCATTCTGGGATTTCACTTCCAGGTATAACAATGTGGA